GAACATGTTCTAATGTAGAGACTTCCTGAATCCCTGGCACACATTGAAACTTTGTAATACAGGTTTTTTGAAAGAAGTTGGGTATGTTTCCTATTATTTGAGAGGCAAAACACTTTAAACATGCATGTACCAATGCTGCATAAGTACTTGTTGGACAAGAACCAGGAGAACTTTGAGGGTATGTGTAAAACATAACAAAGTTAGACTACACATGTGGTACTGCCGCTGAATTCCTTGAGGCAGGGTGTAGGCAGTAAAGCTCCCACAGATTTGAACACAGACTGCAGGTTAGCAGCTGGTAAAGGAACAAATTTGGGCAAAAAAGAATTCAAGCAGCATGCCACTGAAAATACATGATTATGTGACAGGCCAGCAGAAGTTGTGTGCATATGTGTATATACATGCATCTATGTTTGTAAAACATGCAGTCTTTTCTAAGAGAAGAGAAGGATAAAACCTTTCACTAAGTCAATGAGGTCTTGACTTTTTAATAGCAGTAGACTTTTCAGGCTCAACTGGCAAATACTGACAGCTCTGCTTTTATTTATATCCATGGGACTTAAACTTCATTTCCTTCATATGCTTTGCAGAGGCTAACTCAAGATTTTTTTTCTCTCTGTTTATTCATGAGTTCCATTCTCCCAAAGAGCCAAAGTTGAGATCTTAAGTGATATGACCAAGAAAACAGAATAGATATGAACAAAACAGAAACTCTTTCAAAATGTGCAGAGGATTGGGTTGTAAAAATAGGTCCACGAGTCATCTACATTGATGGATAGCACAGTTCTTGAGCACTACCCTAGTAAGGGTGATGCATGTTTAAACATATATATTCATGCTGCAGGCTTAAACATGACCATCAGATCGTACAAGCCGTGTTGATACTGCAGCACAATAGTTCCACATTTCTCATAGCTTCATCAGCTAGGGTCTTTAGATGCTTCTGAAAGGGTGGACTCATTTAAACCACGAGTGAAGCATGAACAACAGATATAAGGTCTCATCTACTACTAGTCTAGTCCCACTAATTCTTCTGCACTATTGTTTGTTGGTCACCACGTAAAATATCCCGGACAACATTTCTGCAGTCGGGCTTATCTGACCATGAGAAACTTGCTCCCCTAGTGCCACTTTAAAGGGTTAATGGTTATTAAAAAGAATATTGCTTCATCATATTTCAAGACCTTGCTGTTCACCTTGCACAGCAACAGTGGCCACATAGCTTCACGCATGCTATCTGCACATTTAGGACTTCAAAATCTTTACAGTAGGCTGAAGCAACGCTCTTGTGCCATGAAACAACTTAGGCCTCTGGTGTGTGAAGGTTCTTGCCTCCTGACTGTTGACAATGCTTTGGTCTGTAGCAACTAGCACCTTTCTAGGCAGTTCCCAGGTAGATAGGCATTAGTCCCACTTTGAGCAGGAACCTTGTCAAGATGATCACCAGAAGTCAACACTACTGTGGATGTTTTGGGGGATAGCCTGTGCCAGAACTATATTCAACAGGCAGTGTGGTTGTAGTCACCCTGCTTCAAAGAGAAAGGCAGCCCCTACATTGTCCTTGGCCTGCTTTATTTAGTAGTACAGACTGAGGTGAAAAAATAGATGTACGTTGCAGAGTGAAAAAATCCTGCTCAGTTGTTAACCGCAAGCAAGCACTATTGAACTGGTGTTAGCCGACTGCTTCCAAGGACTTAGCACAGAATCATCCAGGCTGTATGTACAGCTCTGCATACCTGGAGGTGCTCTTTGCTGTTCCACCTGTGTTTTTCTGAAAGTGCCAAGAGAGTCTTCCAAAACCAAGACAGCGTGGTCAGGAAATTTAGCTTTGACAAGGGCATCATGTATGGCTCTAAGAGTGACTGAATATGACATAAAATGGAAGATGAGCCTCATTGCAGGAAGAACTATTTTGAAATACTTGAAGTAATCATAATTACCATAATGAGGCACCTATTAAAAAGCTTCCACTAAGCAGGGTTGTAGTATTAGTAGATTCAGGAAGTAACACTGAAATATTATGACACGGCTATGACTGTTGGTAATTAAAAAAATGAGATTTTCCTTGCGAAGGCAAGAAAAGCAGCAAAGAGAAGAAAAATCCAAAAAGAAGACAACAGTCTATTTGGGCCCCTCTGCGGTCCTGTTTTTTACAGTAGCATCATATGTAAGTAAAACTCAAATCTCCTGCCTCAAGCTGTACCAATTTAAATGAATTTGTTAAAGACAGCTACAGAAGAACAAAATTAGAGGAAGCAAAACCACATGATCTCAGTGCGTCAGCTCCAACATGTCACTTAGCAGAGCAACTTCTTACAAAGGCTGGGTAGTTCACCCAGCCTTTGTTTGTTCAGCTTTTTCATCCTTATGTTGCCTGTACCCAGGACAGGACTGGCATCTGCTGGGAGTAAGAGGTTAAATGGATATCCACCACCAGTTAGGAAGCACTTCCCAAGTAACAGCTCCCCCAGATCTTGTACTTAGCATGTCACTGGCCCTACAGATCTTCTTTCTCTTCAGCGTTAGCGAGCAGGTCTGACTGTAACCCAAAGCTTTTCAACAAAGTTGCTTTTGTTTTTGTGAAGGATGAATCCTTCAGTTTACAAGAACAGCTTGCTAAAGCATGTCACTAGGATCCTTGCCACTTGATCATGAGTGTTCTCTGCTTGAAATAAGCATTGTGGCTGAAGTCTCTTGCCCTTCATTTAATGCTGAGCCTTGGCCTCTTGGGTAGAGATTAGGTTGCTTCTAGCCAAGTGGCAGGTAGGCTCCAATACGTGACTCACGCAAGACACATAGGTGGTGTCTGTGGGTGCTGGCAAGGCTTCCCAGGCCTTTACCCAAGCCCCCGTACTCCGCATGTGAAAACCCCTTCCTGCCCAGTTAGCCTGCTGCTGTGGCACGCCTCGGTTGTTCACAGACAACAGCAGCACGCCTCGCACGCCCCGGGAGCAGAGCACCCCGCACAAGTCGGATTTTGGGGCCTTACTTCCCAGCTCCGGCCTTTCACCACACGTACACCCAACGCGGGATTTCAGCTGCTCTGGGCCAACCCTCTCTGCAGGAGAGGTTGTGGCTTGGTTTTTGTCACTTTTCGGTGGAAATCGCCCGCTCCCTTGCGGGACTGAGCTCTTCCCTGGCCAAGCTGCCAGTCGCTGCCAGCGGTACAGTCGCCACCGGAGAGAGGTGCGAACCGGAGCCGGGAAATCGCCCAGGCGTGGTTTCACGGACCCCTTCCTCGGCGCCGCTCTCTGGAAGCAGCTAGGCTGCGTCGCTTCGACGGCAACTATCAATTTTCACAAGTACGGAAGGAATCACGCAGCAGCGCTCTCTGGCATCCATTCGGTAATTTGTGGTCTTTAATGAGATCAGATAATTATAGGTAAAGGTACTGGCTGTGGCATCACTACTTTTTTTTCTGTTAAACAGGCATCTACTAAACACTATTTATGAGTCTGTTGTTTAGGTGAAGAAGGAAAAAGAAAAAAAAAGACCATCTTGGCAAACAAGACGTTTTCCCACGCGAAAATGGGAACAATACAGAAAACCAGAGGGGATTTCTGCCGCGGGAGGTCCGGGAGGCGACGGCAGCCTTATCGCTGAGGTCTGCCAGCCCCCCAAGGCCCCCTGCAGGG